AAGAAAAAGAAAGAAAGAAAGAAAGAAAGAAAGAAAGAAAGAAAGAAAGAAAGAAAGAAAGAAAGAAAGAAAGAAAGAAAGAAAGAAAGGAAGAAAGGGAAATAGAGAAAGCAAGCAAGCAAGCAATTTTGGAGAAAATCCATTATTCATTAAGAACATCAAGAAATTATCATTAATATCCTCAGGGATATAAGATGCTACAACCACAAACAAAAGCACAAACTCATAAAGGAACACACACAAAAATATTCTAAGAATTGAAAATATGATTGAAGAAATGTAAAATTCAAGAGTTGGAAGATAAAGATGAAGTGAATCTCCCACAAAGTACAACAAAAAGACAAAAAATGAAAATCAAAGAAAACATAAGTAAATCAAAGAACTAGTCCAGTGGTTCCCAAACTTATTTGGCCTACCGCCCCCTTTCCAGAAAAAATATTACTCAGCGCCCCCTGGAAATTAATTTTTTTTAAATTTAAATAGCAATTAAACAGAAAGATATATGTATTAATGTTTCTACCTTTTTCGTAAAATATAGTAAAGAAAGGTGTAAATTAGAAACATTGAAGTTTGAAATTATGAAACTATTTATTGAACTCAGAATAGAAAGGTAATACAAAAAAAGTTAAAACAAATGCACCTGTGGCCATCACCGCCCCCCTGGATCGCTGCAGCGCCCACCAGGGGGTGGTAGCGCCCACTTTGGGAATCACTGAACTAGTCTAAGAGGTCTACAGCAGAAACAGCAGGAATTGTAGAAATAGTTAATAGAGATTAGGGTGGTGGAGGGGGGAAATTAAACAAACAACAACAACAACAAAAATTCATAAGACTTAAGGGCATGGTTTCCAGAATGAAATATGCCCAGAAAATAGAGAAAAACAGACCCACACTAAAGCTATACCTTAGGAAATTTCAGAACAGAGGGGACAAAAATATCCTAAAAGCTTCCTGAGAGAAAAAATTGGATTTTATACAAAGGATCGTGAAAACACATTTTCAAATATGCAAGATGTAAAAAAATTATGAGCCCTGCACCCTTTCCCAGGAAGCTACTAAAGAAGAAGCTCTATGAAAATGAGGAAATATAAACTAAGAGAAAGGCTACAGAAAAAAGGAAACCAAGTTTGAGTAGAAGACCCAGAAGGAAAGTATGCACCAGGAACATACCAGTTCTCCAGTCAGAAGGCTCTAGTTATGTCTGAGCTTCCTAAGAGAAGACTTTTAGACAAGTGGTGGATGGTTTGGGGTCAAATTAATCATAAGTACATAAGCAAACAAAATAAAAAAAGATAAATTATTAATTCCAGGGAAAACAAGTTGTTCAGGAAAGTTAAAGTCATCAGTTTACTACATGACTGAGCTCTGGTTATCATTTCCATAGTCAACAAAATTACCATTTACCTAGATTGAAAGTCGAGGGGATAAGGACTGAGATGTGTGTATGTTAGGGGCAGAGAAGTAAACCTAAACTTTCCTCTATAACAGAAAATCAGTAAAAATGACCTAAGATTCATAAATCAAGAAAAAGCTGGAGATAAAGTGAAAAATATGGAGATAAATTTTTTAAAACTCAATTGAAAGTGGTTTCTTTTGCAGAATAAAAAATGGGAGTGGGAGCAGGAGAATGCTCCTTTTCACAGAATTGACTTTAAAATCATAACTTTCATAGAATTATTTGATTTTTTTAAACTCAGCTTTTTAGAAAGATGAAAAAGAAAAAAAAATCCACTCATCAACTATCCATCCCCAGAAAAACATTTTTTAAATGCCAATTTAATCTATATTCTTAAACTTAAAAAAGAAAAATCTGCACAGTCCTGGCAAGTGTGGCTCTGTTAGTTGAGCACTGTCCAGAACACCAGAAGATGGTGAGTTTGCTTCCCAGTCACAGCAAATACCCAGGTTTCGGGTTCAATCCCCGGGTAGGGGTAGGGACATTGCAGGAGGCAACCAATCAATATTTCTCCCTCCCTCCCTCTCTTCCTCCCTCCCTCCCTTTTCAAAAATAAATAATTTAAAAATCCAATAATTTTTAAAAATTATTTTTAAAAAATCTGCATATCTTTAATAGTATTACATCAACCAACTAAAGAAGTACTTTTAAAACCCTATTTTAAAAAGCATTTCAAAGAATTCACACCAAAAATGTACAGAGAAGCATAACACATCCCCCAGATATTTCATTAGGGCTTATTTGTCTAATACTCATATTGGTGTTTATATTTAGAACAATAGTGGCTTATTATAAAGAAGACATAGTTGTGTTTAACATGCCAAGGCTAGATAACTTTATTCAAGATTTTGACAAAAATTATCCTCAAAGTAATATAAATTTAGACACTTTATAAAAGTCCAGATGTGAAATTTCAAGAAAATTTTGAATTCAGTCTAGAGTCAATACTAAGTCAAAAATTGAACCAAATCCACAAATCATAAATACTACTTTCCTTCAAAAGTTCATTATATTTTCTGAAACAGGTTACCAATTTAGTTTTCCTTTCTGTGATATTGGTATTTGGAATCAATTTAATAAGGTTTACATCTTTAAGTTCTAAGTTTGTACTTATCCTGAATATTTTGCTATAATTAAAAATACAAATCCAGAAGTGCTATCCCTTCCTTACAGAAGAATTCCAATCAATAAATGTAGAATGAGAGAAATAGAAAATCACCATTAGACCACCACAGTAGTAACTGACAACACAAGCAAGATTCACAATGGATACCAAAATGAGTGGGCAAAGGTTTAAGCAGAAACAGGACATTTGCATAGTCTCAAAGTATCTTCAGCAAATATTTAGTCACTACAAAAGAAAGTAATTTTCAGTAGAGAATCCTAACAGACACCACCTTGGGTAGTGATTAAGGTTAACAACACCAGAAATACATTACAATACCAGGTGTCATAATTTACTGTCACAGATTGGAGGACCCTACAGACACATGACAACTAAATGCAAGGTGGGATCCTAGATTGGATCCTGGAACAGTTAAGTAAAAAGTACATTAGTGAAAACTCTAAGAAAATCTCTACTTTTTAAACTCTCTACTTTAGTTAATAGTATTGTGTCAAGGCGAATTTCTTACTTTGGCAAATGGTCTATGGTTATGTAAGATGTTAACAGAAGGGGACTGATATCACCCCAATGAATTTAATTTAAGACTTTACAAAAAATGTTATCAGAGAGCAAGTTGAGTGACTAAGTGAAGAGTATACAGAAAATACTATTTTTACAACTCTTCAGGTCTAAAATTATCTGAAAATTAAAAAAATAACTTAAAAAACATACACACATATGTATATATGTGCATAATATATATGTATATATGCATAAATCAGGACAATGCAAATTGCTTTCTTGGGCACTCAGTTAAATAGTAGTGTTCTCTCCTGAATTAGTCATTGTCTCACTGGTTTATGTTAACTTAGCTTTAAGGGTCTCCCCCTTCTAAATTTTGTTTCAAGTACAGTTTTCTAATTTTCATTAAAAAGCCTTTTTAAAAATTCCTATATTAGACCAAAAATAAAAATCCTAGAATAAAATTATCACATTACCTCATAAAATCACTCATCCCAACCATAAGACCCAGCCATTATTTTTACTCCATTTCTTCTTATAATCAATTATGTTTCTACTAGAGGTCCGGTGCACAAAATTCATGCACTGGGGGGGGGGGGGGGAGAGCCT